TCAGCACCAAAAGTCTCAGCTCTAGAGTCCACAGCAGCAGGCTGCGGAGGCGGCGAAGACGGCCGAGGCGGAAAACCAGGGGGGGTCTCCAAGCGTGGAGAGCGGCGAGTGGCCGCCGTGTCATCAGCGGCGGGGTCACCCCCTCAGCTGGGCCAGAGGAGTCAGAAGAGATCTCCAAAGGCTCAACTAAGGGGGGTGGGTCTACTTGAGACACACCTGAGGGAGAAGGACCCTGTGGGGGGAGGGGGTCTACCGGGGGGGGGACTGGTACCAAGAAAAGAGGCGCTAGGGGGACCGGGTGGGACGCGTGCGGGTGTAGCCTGTAGAAACAGACAGACTCATCAAAGGTGACGTCCTGGGAGGAGAAGACTCGACGCGAGCGCGGGTGGTAGAACTGCCACGGCGGGGCGTCGGTGGGGAAGCCAAGGAAGACACAGCGGAGAGTGCGAGAGGAGAGCTTACTCGCTTTGGCATCGCGAACAAGGGAGAGCGCGCCCCAGACTCGAAACACCGACGCATCGCCAACCTTCCCCGTCCACCAGAGTGTGGGCGAGGTCTCTGGCTCAGAGACACGGGGCCAAAGGTTGAGCTGATGCGCAGCGTATCGGACCGCAAACGGCCATAGAAAATGGGGAGCAGCCGCATGGATTATGGAGGTACGAGCAACCTCCATGAATAAGCCAATGCGACGCTCAGCAATCCCATTTTGTTGAGGAGAGGCCGGAAGCGTGAACGATTGGCGGATGCCCTCGTCTCGACAGAACTCCGCAAGGAGGTCAGAACAGAACTCACCGCCCCTGTCAGAGTGCAGACGCAGGACTGGGAAGTCCCGACGAAACCGCTCGCGTAGCTGGCGACGAGTAGCACGGATCCAGGGGATCAAAACACCGTTGACGTCCGCCTTGCGCCGCAAGGGGAAGACAGTGGTGTAACGTGTGTAGTCGTCAACAACCAGCAGGAAGTAGCGCTCCTGGTCCGTTCCACCGACGGGGGCCGGGCCCCAAACGTCCATGTGGAGAGTCTGCAGAGGAGCAGTGGTCGGAGGAAACTCGGAGGAGTGAGGAGCGGCGCGCTGCCGCCCCTCGACGCAGGGAAGGCACGGCGGGGCAGGCGAGCGCGAGAAGGAGGGCAGGGACCTAGGAAGGCCAGAGACAAGGAGACGGGAGTGCATGCTGCGGAGACGCGGCAGGGAGGGGTGACCGAGACGGTGGTACCAGAGGAGAGTCTGGTGGGAGAGTACCCGACACGAGCAAGACGCTGCAAGCTGACCAGACGAAGACACCTGTCTGGACGCAGCCACCTGACCTGCCTCAGCCACCTGTGCAGCCGCAGTGGTCAGTGTGTACAGACTAGACCCAAGCCGTCGAGTGAACGTAGCAAGGTGACGGCCAGTCCGGGAGCACGTACAGATCGCCACACGCTGCCCTCCAGGAATAAAGGTATCAACCCAAACATCCTGAATGGCAGCGTTGCTCACCAAGTTCGTCGAGAACGTGGGGAGGTGGAGACGTGACAAAGAACCGGAGGGGACTGCTGGACACGGGAGGACAGTGGAGGCTCGTGCGACTACTGGGCCCCTAGTGGGGTCAGCCAGTGAGACTGGTCGGTGCAGCAAGTGGTGTGAGTGTGGTGCAGTCACGAAAGAAGCAACGTGACGCGCCTGAGTCAGGTGTGAAAGTGTGCAAGGCCTCAGCTGAGGCAGGACCTGTGGCGGGAGACGCACGAGCACCTAAAGTTGCAGCAGACTCACTAGCACCTAGTGCGGCACCAGACTCACTAGCACCTAGAGCAGCAGCCTCGACAGAACCAGTGACACATCGCTGAGGAACCAACTCACTAAGCACCTGCGGGGAGAAGGTCTCCTGCTGACTCTGCTGCCGCCTCCGTGCAGTACGCAGAAAGCCAAAGCCTCCACCATCTGGACGGGCTCGCTGAAGAACCCACTCGCGAAGCTGCTGAGGGGTGGGGTCGTCCGGGAGAGGCAGTGACCGCCGCTGTCCACCCCTAGCCGCTGCAGCTGCCGTGATAGTGGCCATGACAGGCAGTGACGGTCAGTAGTAGGTCCAGCACCTCCAGCACCAGCAGCACCTCCAGTACTCCCAGTCGCACCTCCACCAGCAGCAGCAGCAGCACGAGCAGTAGCCGCAGCAGTAGTAGCAGGAGGGCGGCTCGAGCTGGGCGGCGCAGCTCGGCCTGGGCAGCGCTGCTCGGCAGGGCACAGCGCAGCAGTAGCAGCGTGTGCAGCAGCAGGGCGCTGGCGGTTTTTTTTTTTTTTTTTTTTTTTTTTTTTTTTTTTTTTTTTTTAGGGTTGCGGGGCGCGCTGGCACGCTTAGCAGCGGGGCGCGCTGGCGCGCTTCGCAGTGGGGCACGCTGGCGCGCTGGGCTGCGGGGCGCGCTGGCGCGCTTAGCAGCGAGGCGCGCTGGGCTGCGGGGCGCGCTGGCGCGCTTAGCAGCGGGCGCGCTGGCGCGCTGGGCTGCGGGGCGCACTGGCGCGCTAGGCTGTGGGGCGCGCTGGCGTGCTTAGCAGCGGGGCGCGCTGGCGCGCTGGCCTGCGGGGCGCGCTGGCGCGTTTAGGGCTGCGGGGCGCGCTGGGCTGCGGGGCTGCTCGCGGGCAGAAGGGGCGCGCAGGGCAGGGGCTGCTCACGGGCAGCAGGGGCGCTCGGGTCAGGGGCTGCTCGCGGGCAGCAGTGGCGCGTGGGGCAGGGGCTGCTCGCGGGCAGCAGTGGCGCGCGGGGCAGGGGCTGCTCGCGGGCAGAAGGGGCGCGCAGGGCAGGGACTGCTCGCGGGCGGGTCAGGGGCGCTCGGGGCAGGGGCTGCTCACGGGCAACAGTGGCGCGCGGGGCAGGGGCTGCTCACGGGCAGCAGGGGCGCGCGGGGCAGGAGCTGCTCGCGGGCAGCAGAGGCGCGCGTGACAGCAGGGCAGCGCGCTAGGGCAGGCAGTGCAAGTAGCTGCAGGGCAGCGTGACACTGTGCGAGAGGGCCGAACAGCGCAAGGGCGCTTCGGGCAGGAACTAGCGGAACGATCGGTGGGCCCTAAAAACCTAACAGGTTTCCTGCTCTGAATACCATGTCAGAATCAACTGTGCAGGAATGATTGGATTAGCAAGAGTTGGGGTACAAGTACTAACCCTAGAAGTGCTGGACCCCATAAGGAGTGCCCCACTATAGCCTACAAGTAAGATTGTACTTTGACAATATATTTCAACATGAAACCCCAGCTGCCCATGTCTCAGAGGCCCCATTTGCAATGAGAACGATGCCAAATGATAAGAACAAGAAAGCATGCTTTCTCAATATTATATTTTTAACACACATTGTGTTTTTTAAATTGTGTATTGTGAAAGCGAAGCTGCTTGTACTGCACATTTGGCATCGTCGAAGCGCGCTAAACGCCCTTCTCCAACTACAAAAACCGTGGGTTGGAGCTCATTTCCCTCCACCCACGTTTCTCTATTTCCAACGGCTCACTCAACTTTCCCACCACCCACCCCAGCATCGACTGCCTACTACGGCCGTTTGGACACGGTACATCTTAGCTAGTATTCTTTGCATGTACTATAACTTGTGTTAGAACTCGATGGATCTGTTGTAATATGACATTTGCAATGAGAACGATGTCAAATGATAAGAACAAGAAAGCAAGCTTTCTCAATTGGGGCATACACCCTTGTCAGAGGTCCACCAGTGATCCCCGATTGATCTTAGGTAAGGGTTACAGGCACGTTGGCCTGGGGGGTTATGGACGCACTCACCCGCTACACAAACAAGCCATTTTATCCCAGTGGTTAATGGCTGGGATTCTAACATGGTATCAAAACGAAAGTCTTGGGTTCGAATAACAGTGTGTACACTTCGGGCCAGGCCCTCAGATTGGTTTTGGGGCACGCTGATTCGTCAGTGTTGGTCCCTGGAAAAAAACTCTGTCAGGGTTGGGTAAAAAAAAAACCCTGAAAAATCAGTGTTAAGGTACAAAAAAAAACTTTGTGTAGGTTTGATTTAAGATTAAAGACCGTCATGTAGGCTGAAATGGCTCAGTCAATAGAATGTGGACCTCCGAAGGGGACGGTTCCGGGTTTAATCCAGAATTCTGGCGGGTTGCCACGGAGTCACTGGCGAATTTTTCGGCAAATTCCAAAGAATTCGCGCATTTTCAGCAACAGGACTCGGTTCGTTAGTGTTGTTTCGAATCAGTGTTGGTACATGAAACTTGCCTGAAATTTCAGTGTTGGTACAAATAACTTGCCTGAAAAATCAGTCCTTACATGGAAAAAAACACTTTCCAATCAGCCTTAGGCCCCAAAAAAACCCTGGAAAAAGGTTTTTCAAGGGCAAATCAGCGTTTTTTTCCTGACTTCTGAGGGCTTGCTTTGGGCATCCCAGTGCGAGGGGGGGTCAGAGGTCCACTGGTGATCCCCGATTGATCCTATGGAAAGGTTACAAGCCATTGGCCTGGAGGATTATGGGCGTACTCACCCGCTACACAAACAAGTAATTTTATCCCAGTGGTTAGTGGCTGGGATTCTGACAACCCTCTACTGCTATAAATATGATGACTGGGAAACCCATAGCCTATATATCTTTAGCGCACAACAATCCTACGACTCAAGCCCTACAACCAACTAAGCGGCGGCTCTTCTACAGCAGCCAGAGTGCCGCGGCTGCCTTTGGCATGCAGGCAGGTGAAGGAGTGCCGTGGTCAGAGGCGCTACATTGTGCAGCACCAGTTGAGGCGCACACAGTGGACTCGACTTCTCTAACACCATCGCATGCCAGTCGCCTCGCCACACACAGACACGCCTTGTCTTCCCCACACCGCTCTGCTGCACCCCACCTGCGCCCTGCTGCACCAGCGTGCTGCCACAGCCTGCTCGCACCCAACCATCCCCACACCGCCATGGCCCACACCCGTGCTCCCAATCACATACCTGCTGCCCCTGCCTGCCATGCGCCTGTGCATGCCCACGCCTTCCATGGACCATCACGCCGCACTGCGCACACCCTCAGCCCCGAGCCATGCCCCATGGCCCACCCCGTGCCTGCTGCTCTGCTGCCCGCCACACCACCTTCACCTGCAGATGCGCTGCTGCCCCCGCAGAGCGGCTCCCAACCCCCCGTGCATGCAGGGACGGCAGCGGAAAGAGGCTGCAGAGGGCATGGGGCAGCAGGGGGGGCTGACGGCAGTCTCGAGAGGAGGCTGCCTCGCACTCCGCGCTCAGCGGGTTAGCTTGCTCGCCTGCCGCTCCTGCACCCGCACGCGCAATTCTACCCTGCTACACGCGCTATTGGGGTGGCTGGGTGGCTGCACGGCTGGGTGGCTGGCGGCTGGATGGCTGGCGGCTGGATGGCAGGATGGATGGGTGGTGCACGACTTGCCCCACAACTGCTACGCTGGAAAAACAAAATGCTCAGCGCCTCGTGCGCCGTTCACTGGACCAGCAGCCCCAAAGCGGCAGCCGGCTGCAAAATAAATAGAATGGACTGGCAGTGCGTACCCCGCCCTCTTCCCGTGACGCGCGCGCGGCTATCAGTCCGTCGCGCACGAGCGTCTCTGCCACGTGAACCCGTGCTCCTCCAGCCGCTCGCCCACGTCGTGGGGCAGCGCGCGCATCCAGTCCCAGTCCGCGGCGACCTTGCGCAGCACGCGCAGCTTGGAGTCGAGTCCGAAGCAGCACGTGGCGTGCACCGTCACCAGCTCCGCCATCCGCGCGCCCATCTCGCAGAACCCGCCGAAGTGCGCCGTGGGCAGGTAGCGCACGGTGAGCGGCGTGGCGGTGCGCGTGAAGGGGTTGGCCTCGGGGCGGATCCAGTCGAAGATCTGCTGGATGCGGTGCTTCGGTAGCCTGCCGCGCACATGCCACGGGGAGGGGGAGGGAGGAGCGGGAGAGGGGGGAGGGAGGAAGGAACGGGGAGATAGTTTGAGTGGGAGTGGGAGAGAGCGGGACCAAGCAGAGCTGGTGTGGGAGAGAGCGGGAGCGGAAGAAGCGGGCAGCAGGAGGCAGGCGCGAGAGATGGCAGCATTACGGCAGGGAGAGGCGAGTGGGACGAGGGCGCTCACCGCTTGTGCCAGGCGATCCAGTCGTCGAAGAACTTGAGCATGCGCGTGTTGCTGCGCGCCGCGTAGAAGCCGCCGTTGCCCATCACCTTGCGCGAGTCGGCGTGCCACCAGTCGACGCTCATGTGCATGTCCTCGGGCGCGGCGAGCAGCAGGTGCGGCAGCGGGTTGCGCAGCCAGAGAATGTCGTTGTCCGTGAACACCACGTCGTAGCCCTGCGCCAACATGCTGCGCACCACGTGCACCTTCCGCCACACCTGCGCGCGCGGAGGAGAGAGGGGGGGGACAGGGAGGGGGGGAGAGGGGAGGGAATTGAGTGCGGTTTACACGCGCGCGGGGGGGAAAGAGCGGGGGGGAACGGAAGGCGCGGGGACGGTATGGTGACGCGGCGGAGATGCATGGTGTGCGGCGCGCGGCGTACCAGGTGGATGTAAGCGGGCGTCATGAAGTGTTTCTGGTCGCCGCTGAAGTCCTCCTTCTCCTCGGCGTCGTCCTGCCAGTCGAAGTAGCAGTGCAGCCCCAGCGAGCAGCACACGTCGAAGCTCGCGTCGTCGTACGCCACCACCACCAGTCGATCCACCAGCCGGTTCAGCCCCCCCTCCGCTTCCGCCTCCCCCTCCGCGCGCCCCTGCTGTTCGACGAGGCGGAGGCGGTCGAGGAAGAAGCGCATCATGGGCGCCCACGCCTCCGACAGCGCCGTCACGATCACCGTGCGCGACAGCGACGACGCCACCGACGCCTCCACCACATTCCCGGAAGCCGACTTGCCGTCGCCGCCATCCTCTGCCCCCGCCGTCAACTGCTGCGGCGCCTCGGGGAACGGGCGATCCGGGTCGGGTAGCCCGCTGGGCCCGCCGTACTCCTCTTCCAACGCCGCCGCTAGCGCCGCCGCTGCCGACGGATCGCCGCCGGCGGCCGTTAATGCACCGTCAAGCACCTCCTTGAGCGTTCTGACGAACGGACGCGTGGGGACGGGGAGAGCGGCGGGATAATGGAGCAGATTGGGGGAGAGGAAAATTAGGAAAGAGAAAAGAGGCGCGCAGGGGAAGAACGAGAGCAGCGCGAACCAAAAAGCGCCTCACAATCGACAAGGCTGCGGCGACACAAGTCCGAGCCTTGGGTGATATACGCTGGATGGGATACCCACACGTGACTGACCAGCAACACGCTCCGCGATATCAGAGCGCGCTGGCAGCTTGCTCAGCCCAGTTTCAAGAGGTTCACACTTGAAACACCGGGTTGAAAACGTGGATGCGAGAGACGGCGAGGCGACATACCTGCATTTGGAACAGGTCGCGGCTGGTTGATTGGCGAGTGGTTGGTCGGAAGGCGGTTGTTTGGCGGACGAGGCGGTCAGCGACGCGAGGAACGATTGTGGTGGTCTGTCGGTCTCGTCGAGAGCTCGTCGCGGCACGGATGACGACGACGACCACTCTAGTTCCGGTCTTATCGCGCCATTGCCTCGACTAAGGTCCCGTATTTGGCCGCCGCACAAGCCCTCGCGAGTCTGGTCCAACATCACTCTCGCGGCCCTCGCTGGAACCGCCGCTACTCTCGGTTTCGCAGGGTGCAACCGCACGGCGACGAGCCCCAGCGACGCGACGGTGAAGACGGTTAGCAGCAACCACAGGCGCGGCAGTCCAAAGTTGCGCATGGTGAGGCGCGGCCACGACGCGGTGGGGCTGAGCGAGATGGCGCAGAGCACGGACGCATACGGCGACGCGAAGTGCGACGACGCGGTGAGCGGGTGGGCGCTGCTGTGTCTGGAGGAGTGGTGCGAGTGAGGCTGCGACCTAAGGAAAGGCGGGCTTAGCGTGGACGAACATCTACTGTCGCGCTCCAACGGCCCTGGCTCTGTACACGCTCCCATTAGGAACCGGCAGATTGTCGATGTGAAGCCCTGCTGCGCGTCGAACTATGAGTTAGACCTAACTCACGCAGATGCACCTAGCTTCAGAGGTAATGAAGTTGTACGCTATAGAAAAAAAACTGCTTTGCTAACGTCGGAGGCACCTGGCTACAACTTTATAATTGGTGATAATGCTGTGAAGCAAGCAGAGCGTCAAGCGCGGTAGGTCTGATGCTGGAGTGCAACTTATCAGGATAGTTGCTAACGTGGGAGCAGAGTTGGTTCATCGTGGGCAAAGATGCAAGAAACTCACGACGACCTCCTCCTCACTTCACTCTCCGCTTCCCTCCAGAATCATCTCGCCCTTCCTCACCGCCTCTTCTTGCTCTTGTTTGTTACTCGCCGTTTAGGTTTCGGTGCCTTCGCACAACTGTGACTGACCACCACCACCACTGGGCAAGCCCGAGAAGGAGCACACCACCAAGAACGTGAACTGATCCGCTTCCTTGCCTCCGCCCGCTGCCACCTCCACGCTTGGCGCGCTGTTCCGCCTGGGTGCTGCCCGTGGTCCGTGGATGCCTCGGCCCACCCAACCTCCTCGCTCCATACTTGTCCCCCCTAGAGCTGAGGGCGGTGGGCCGGTGGTGGTGGGCGAGGCACTGAAGTGGTCGCCGAACTAGGCCTCAGATCAGATATGCCATAGAGCTGTAGGTTCGGCAATCACTAGGGCTGCAAACGGACAATAAGCCTGGAAGAGGCACGGTGACACTGTGTTCAAGCACGTACGTTGTTGAGCCACGCCGAAGCGCCAAGGCGCGGGAATACCCGCAACGGTTTGCGTTGTGGGGCCCCGACGCGGCTTGTCTTTGATAAATGCCTGAACCTGCCTAATTCTTGTGGAACTATCCCCTTATATTCAAGCATGCATTAGAGATCCCCTGCGTCTTAGAAACAGTCTGATGAGTAGGAAAGTTTCAAAGGTAGCAAAAGGCTCCTCGACACGTCAGAGGCATACTTCAAATACCATTTACGCCCGGCTTGCACATAGAGTCGGGTGTCGAACGACTCTACCTGTGTTTACGGACCGGGTAAGTAACACTGTTTATCTTAGGCCCTTTGGGCTTTGGTAGTTGAGGGCCACTCTTGCCTCTGCGTTACTTGTTGGCTACGACCATTAACAGAAAATCAAACCTTGGACTTAAACCAGGGCAATAATAACAAAACTACTTCGTTCATAGGGTGGTAGTTTGGTCTGGGTGAGGGCAGCTACCCAACCACCATAATTCCCTGGCCTGCTAGGCCTAGGGCTTTTCCACCACGACCAATCAGATTCAGATCATGCCAACCAGAGGGAGCACATAGACATAAGCACATATTGTTATTGAATCGAGGACTCTGTCCTTTCGAAGGTTTTTAAACACTTGATGAATGAGGAACTTTTAGTCTAATGTATCTCATGTACCCCATGATTTCCTATATTTGCAAGTCTATACTTGTTCATGATATTTTGGCTAGTACATTATATATATCTGTGTTACTTTGTTTATAAGCTGAAATCTGAAACCCTGGTAACCACGTTATTTTGCATGTGGCAAATCTAGTTATGTATGAAGTACATAAGATAACTAAGGATGGAGTGTGGTGAATCCTTGTTATAGAGATTCTTTCAACTTCTGTACGATGTGCTACTGACAGATTCAAGTTGTGTCCAGCAAGGCGTGTCCATGACACCTGCTCGAGGTCAGCAAATGGGAGCGGTTGGAGATTGAGCCGGGCAGCTAAGGTGGCACAAGTGTTGGACGAAAGGGCACCAGGTTCTGGAAGTCACGCAATAAACTTATGTTCCGCTGCCCGTGAACCCATCACTCGTTCCTGAATCCTTCCCTCCAAATATTTCCCGCCTATCCCTCCTACCCCAGGAGCCCCATCACCGTCTGACAATAAAGATCACGATTCACGCCCCTCGAGTTTTGTTCACCCTGCCATCTCGATTCTCGACTAACGTCAGGATCTCCGCTCCCCAGCAACTAAGTACAGCTAGTCTCATTCTTTCAGGGTGAATCCTTCAGCGATACGTCCTTAGGAAAGCCTGCTCCACTCCCACTCTAGACAGACCCGGAGCCGCTACATGGCTCCTAATGCCATGTCGCAACCATCGCAGCCCTCATCAGCCGGAGGAGCTTCCGGCAAGCAGGCGGGTCCGTTCAAGCCGGATCTGACGAAGCCGTTGGTGTTCCAGGTGGGGTATCTGGGCGAGCACTATGACGACTGGGTGCACCAACCCATCATCAGCAGAACGGGTCCGCGCCTCTTCGGGCCGGACTGGATGGAGTTCTTCACGCAGACGCACTGGTGGATGATCCCACTCGTCTGGCTCCCCGTCATCGCCTACGCCGAGTACCGCGCCGCGCTCGCCGGCACGCCCAAGGTGCTCGTCGCGCCGTTTTTCGCGCTGGGGCTGGTGGTGTGGACGCTGATGGAGTACAGCCTGCACCGCTTCCTGTTCCACTACCGCACGACGGGGTACTGGACCAACACGCTGCACTACCTGCTGCACGGCTGCCACCACAAGCACCCGCAGGACCGCTTTCGCCTCGTCATGCCGCCCGTGCTCTTCGCGACGCTGTCGACGATCGTGGCGGTGCCGTTCTTCCTGGTGCTCCCCGGGCTGCTGGTGTGGCCGGTGTACGCGGGGTCCATCTTCGGGTACATCTGCTACGACATGACGCACTACTTCGTGCACTTCGGCGTGCCGCTCGAGCTCCAGTGGATCGCCTTTCTGCGGCGCTACCACATGGCGCACCACTTCAAGGACTTCAACGCCGGATTCGGCATCACCAACTCCTTCTGGGACAAGGTCTTCGGCACCTACCCCGCCGATGACCCCAAGAAGGCTGACGCGGCCGGGAAGGCGGACGCGGCGAGCAAGGCAATGTAGGGTTGCTGCCTCGCTGTAGACTGGTGTAGGATTTCGGGGATGGGGTATGTCTCCATTTATAGGCTTACGGTAATCGGCAACTTCTTGAGTGGCTGTGGTTTAGTCAGATCTAAGCACGTACGGTACGATGAACATAATGGCTGTTTCTAGGATGTACTTTACATGTGCCATGCTTGTCTTTTGCATGGTTGATGCTATGAGCTCCTACTCTCCACCACACCCAGCTGATATGGGGTACCGTATGGGAGTTAACCCTGAATCTATGCAATAAATGAGGGTGGGCTGCGTATCCATTTGTTTCAATGAACTAGGAAAGTGCATCAGTCCCAACCAATTCCTCTCTAGTATTTTAGAGGGGCTCCACCCTCACTTAGCCCGGCATTTGACGAGAATGGGCTTGCTTGCATTGCTCTACCAACCAAGCATCCTCCAAAGCTGGGTCACCAATCAACCAACCAACCCTTTACGAAGTGAGAACAGACCAGTCTTGCCATTTTGGCTAGGGATCATTATTAGCCAGCCAGTGTTTGCCAGTAGGAAGTTTAGAACACAAACCATTTTCATTTTTGTGTGGGCAGTCTTGTTCTTTCATCAGGCCTCACCGAAATTCACTCACTTCATTGAGCGGTGTGTTGCTTGAAACTTGGACGTTTTTCTTACAGCTACCTATACACATTAGAAGCTAGTCTACCATCAACGGGCCCGGCCAACCGAACAAGTTGGCACTGCAACCACCCTTGCCCCACCGCGGGAGCAGGAAGGGTGAAGCAGGCAAGCCAGACAAGATCAGAAGCCGATTATATCGCGCAAAGCAAGGAAGGCCGGCACGGCTTCTTGGTCGAATTTTCTGGCGAAAAGAAAGCAATGCGTGGGCCGGCCTGCCACTGTGCATGGCCGGGAGGGCGACTGCTTGAGGTAGCCCACTGTTTCAGCTGGTGGGAACCGACTCCGCTGCAACACAGCAAGGAAGGACAAGAGCATAAGTCAGTTGCAACATTGTTGACAAAGCAAAGGCACAGAAAGGACTTAGGGCTGAAGGGCGACAAGGTGAAGGGGATGAAGGGGAGGGGACCCACTTGCAAGGAGAGGATGAATTCCCTTGTGACTTGACTTGTGTTGTAGCTCATGGGGTGGCTGGACGAGGATGTGAACCAGTGCACGTACAGCACACTGCGGGGCTCCACCGCCTTTCGGTCCAGCATCTGAGCGGCGGAGAGGGCAGGCAGGAGGGAGAGAGCAGCAGGCAATGGTGAGAATGGCATGGCGTTACAATTTGCATCTAACTAGCATTTCGCAGAGAAAGACAGGAAGCGAGGAGCGTGCGAGTTGTGGGGTGGCGGTAAGGCTCAGGTGCTTACAGCGAGGATGGTTTGAATGTAGCTCTCGTCGGGAATCTGCAAGCAACGGACAGGCGAGACAAGCATGGAGAGACTGAGAGCAGGAAGAATGCACATGTATGCACGCCACAGGATCCAGGTAAAGGGCAGAGCGATGCTTCAAGGCAAAATGGACGCTGATGCAGCATGGGTGAGGGGAACATTTGACAGGCATACGGAGGCATCCTAGCGCACCTCAGCATTGGTCTTGACGAAGGTCTCGTAGAACTTGCTGTCCTCCACCACCTTGGCTGCATGCGGGCGCGTCAACGCAAACCACTGCACACGTACACGTGCAAGGGTGGTTGGGGCGAGGGGAAGGGGTGTAAGCCACAGAAGAGGATAGTCAAAGGTGAGGAGAGCAGCAGAGGTGCCTGTTGAGTCGACTCCACGGTCAAACCACACGGGGAGGGTGGAGAAAGGTCCTCACAGCAGCAGCAACCCCTACAGTCGTCCAGCCCTATCCTGCGCCCCCCAACGCCTCACCTGCGATCCCTTTTTGAAGTCCTGGCCCTTGATGACGGGCGCCATCTCCTTGCGGTACCGCCACACGCTCGCATGGCTGCTCGCGCGCACGGGGAAGGGGCGGGGGAGGGGAGGGGGATGGGGAAAAGGGAGGCAGACGGGGGAAGGGACAGGGTTAGGCAGAGGGACAAATGGGCGGAGCAGGGAGGAGGGTTAACAGCAGCGCGAATGAGAGGAGGCAAATGAGAGGGGTGAGGAGAGTGGGGAGGGAGTTTGTCACGTGCGTTGTTCCGAAGAGACTTATCTCCTTCGTTTTCCCTTTACTTTTCGCACGGTACGACTGGACACAGTGCGTTACCTTGTAACGAAGCTCTTGTCGGAGGCCATGAGGTAGTCGAAGACGTGCGTGAAGTTGAACAGCGGCAGACAGCTGCGCGCACCGCGGCGAGGGGCAGCGGCGAGCAGGGTGGGGGGGGGGGAGGGGGGAGGAGAGAGAAACAGGGCGCGGGGGGAGGGGGACGAAAAGGGAAGCATTGAGGCGGTGTGCTTGGAGCATATGCGAATCATTCTACGCCTCCCAATCGTCTGCTGACACGTGCAATGAGAGCGCGCTAGAAGCAATTTCAACCTCCCCCACAACATCGTCACGACTCCCTCCGGATCTCCTCCCCCAACCTACGAGAGTCATTGTTCCCCCCTACTCATATCCACCCGTCCCCACCTCCACCCCTCCCCCGCACTCACGACTCCGACAGCAGCACGAAGCGCTGGTTGGCGGGATCCGCCAGCGCCGCGGCGAGCAGCCGGCGCTCCGCGCGGATGAGGTTGGGGCCGCCCCACGTGATCTGCAGGGGGGGGAGTTGGAAAGGGAGGAAAGGGGGAAAGGGGGGGGAAAGGGGGGGAGGGGAAGAGGGAGAGGGAGGGGGATTGAGGAAGACGCGCGAGGGCGTGAGGAACAAGACGGGGCGAGACAAGGCAAGACGGGGCACGATATGCATGAAGCGGATCGATGTAGACGCGCCACTGTGAGCATTACGAAACGGTGAGAAGCGCGAGAAAGTGGACGAAGAAACGGTGAGGAGGACGCGTGGCGGAAGAACGTCGGGAAGAAGGGGGGCCTGCGGAGGAACCGACAGTGAGGGGGGGCTTACAGGAACGCTGGGTATTTGGCGGCCACGGAAGACGGAGGCGTTGACGTGCTTGTCGCACTCGAAGTCGGCGGTGGACGCGTGGATGTAGATCGAGTAGCGCCCCTCGTGGCCCTGCCGCGCGCACATTGGGAAGAGATGCGGAAAGGAACGAGGTGAGGGGGAGATAAGAGGCGAGTGGAGGGACGAGGCGAGGAATAGCCGGACAAAATGGCAGTGTTTACGCGATTGTCACACCAGCAAAACCACGCGCACCCTACCCAAACCGCAAGCACCTGGAAGAATCGTTGCCAGACTCGCTCGAGCGGAAGCGGCCCTCGGACGAGAAAGAGGAACGCGATCTTGGGCTGCACGGCGGCGAGATCCGTCTGCGTGGGCTGCTCCATGGCTCGCCGAAACATGTCCTGATCCACCGCGTCGATGTTCCCCGTGTCCCACTCCGTCCGCGACTCCGACCCACCGCCTACTACTATCAACCCCAAGTACACTACCCCCGTGGCTATGAGTAGATACGACACGTTGATTACTAACATCGACCAAATGCGAGACCGCGGGAATCGCAATGACAGACGCAATGCCATGGTTTACTCTGCCTGAAAAGTGGCCTGTTAGGCGCGTGGATAACAGATTCTAAAGCTGATTATTAAAAAAACAACGCGCTTGGTTGTTGCGTCACGAAACTTCAGTTAGAACGGTGGAAGTGGATCAGGGATATCTGGCTGACAGGCAGTGAGATAAGAACTGCTAATTTAGCTGGCGAAGCTGGGGAGATTGATCTCAGGAACGTGTTCAGTGTAATGCACCAGTAGCGAGACAGTGCGTGCGCCAATAATTGTTTATTTTAGCTAGCCAGGCTAATGGGACATCGATCTCAGGAACGTGTTCATGAACGACGCAACCAGTAGTGAGAGTGAAACGAAGCAGATGAGAGTTTATCCACGAGTGACGAGCCAAGTGCACTTGAGTGGTGGTGGGAGGTGGGAGGAGGAGTATCCAGGTGCGGAGCGAAGAGAGCTGCAGGGAGTTGGGGAAGGAGGGGCGGGCGAGGCAGGTGAGGCGGGTGATGTGGGTCAGGCGGGTGCCAGGTACGCACGCCTGACTCTCACTTTTGCCGCCGCTTCTGACTGGCCTCGGGTTTGGTTGGATGCGCAGGTCCGCTCCGCTGCCTGCCCTCGGGAATGCCGCCGCGCCAGCTCTCCCCCCTTATGGTGGCGCACGGTGCTGTTCCAGCAGAGCATTTCTCAACCTTTGCGCTCACGGATAGCGCGCGTGAGTTACGAGGGGACGGCGGCGCACTCCTATAATTGCGTGTCCAGCGCGCGAATGGGGATGCTTCCGTCCCTGCCTTGGCAGGTCGACGAGGCGTTTCGAGTCTCAACGCTCCTTTTCCCCGCACTGCTGCTTCCTTCCCTACACAGGCTTCCCCTCACTTGCGGTGCTGTCCTCCCATGCGGACCCATACCCACCGGCGACCGGCGGAGACTGCAGCAGCGTTGGGGGACTTCTTTACCAGACTTCCGGGTCACCAAGAGCCAATCAAATTCAACCGAAGTGGAGAGCCAGGCAAGGCTTAGGTTCGGTGGCTTATATGGGACGTGGTTGCGGGGACGGGGGGAGTTTTGGTTGGGCAAGTCGGTATTGGCACACACGTTTGCTACATCTGATTGTTGTACGCGGCTACCGGGAGACCCTGAGTGTGCGGCGCAGCAGGGCAGCGAGCTCGAAGTTCCCAAGGTGACGGAATGTTCCGCACGGTGGAAAATCTGCTCCAGCATCAGCACTTCTCGGTCTTTCAGTTCAATCGGGACTGGACGTCCCGAATACGCGTTGCGATCGCGACTCACAATTATTTGTTCGTAAATCAAATCGCATTAGTAACCAAAATCATTAACTGTTTTTTTCTAACAATGAAAAACGTGGTGTCAGAAGTAACATCAATATCCAGTCCCATAATAGCCTCCTGGAGGCGGTCCTGTACCTGGAGGCCCTGCATTTGGACCTTGCTGGCCCCCGCCATGACCAGGATAATAGCCTGCACTGGCTGCACCAGGGGCAGGTGGTTGCTGGTAACCATTTGCTTCATACGACTGGTACTGCCCAGCACCTGGCACTCCTGGCCCACCTGCCCCTGCCCCTGGCGAAGGGTTGGTACCAGGGGGGTACTGCTGCTGCTGCTGCTGCTGCTGGTACTGCTGCTGCTGCTGTTGGTACTGCTGCTGCTGCTGCTGCTGATAGTTGTAGCCAGCGCCCCCTCCTGGTCCTGCACCAGGAGCAGAGTACCCACCGGCATGCGCCCCGGGATTGGGTGCAGGCTGGTTCCATGCGTTGCCAGCAGAGGGACCAGCAGCAGCAGCGTGGTAACTGTAACCCTGGGTTTGGCTGTACTCGTTTGCTCCACCCTGCCCTCCGTAGCTGTGCTGTGCTCCTTGCTGTGGCTGCTGCTGCTGCTGCTGCTGCTGCCACCCCTGGGTGCCAGTCTGCTGCTGCCCATAGCCCTCATAACCGTACCCCCCACCTCCCTGACCCACACCCTGACCTTGTGGCACCGCCTGTGCCTGCACCTGAGCCTGCACCTGCCCCTGAGGCTCACTCTGAGCTTGAGGCGGCGCTTGGGGCTGGGGCTGCTGGGGCTGTGCCTGCTGCGGCTGGGGCTGGGGCTGCTGCGGCTGGGGCTGTGGCTGCTGTGGACGAGGCTGCTGGGGGCGGGGCTGAAGCTGCGGCTGTAGCGGGGGCCGGGGCTGGGCGGGGGGAGGTTGGAACTGGTGGGGGTGCTGCTGGCTGAGCTTGAGGTACACCTGGGCGCGCTGCTGCGCCTGCCGGGAGGAGAGGGTCGACGCCAGCGCTGTGAACCGCCCGCGGATCTCCTCCATGCGCTGCCGGGGGGAAGGGAGGTGGGGGAGTGGGGAAAGACGGGAAGGGGGGAGATTGGCAGGCAGAAAGAGGGTTAAGGGGAATGAGCAGTTGAGAGAGGTGTTTGGAGCTGCGGTTTCAAGATCGAAACGCATCTGCACCACACCTCCCAGAGACCAACACATCCTCCAATCACATACCCCCCACACACGCCCTCCCGTCCCCCCCGTCCCCTCGCTTCCCCTTTTCCCCTGCCAATTCCCCCATCGCTTCCCCGTCCCCTCCCCTGCGGCCGCGCACGCACCAGATTGTGGCGATCTGTCTCCTCCTTCTCCTCTCTGGCCTGCGCCTGCTGCAGCGCGCCCGTCTCCGCCGCCACCAGCGCCTCTAGCTCCTCCACCGACGACGGCACCCCTGCCTGCGGCGGCAGTTGCAGCATCGGCATGCCTGGCGGGGCGGGGCGGGAGCACGGGCGGGGGCAGAAGCGGAAGCGCGCGGGGGATGAGCGGAGCAGCAAGGAAAGGGAAAGTCGTGGAAATGAGAGAAGCGGATGGCTAGATTGACCAGAAATTAGTCAATGGGAGAATCGAGGCGGACAGAACACCATGGCTATGGCTATAACTACCGCTGTGAGCATGGGCAAGGCCAAGCCACGTGCACGCACTCACCTGCACCACCCATACCACTCGGTTCTACCTGTCCCCCATACGCGCCCACCGCGCCCCCAGGCACCATCGCCCCCATCGGCCCCATCGGCCCCATAGACCCCATAGACCCCATCGCCCCCATCAGCCCCATCTGGCCAATCGCGCCCATCCCCCCCATGGGCCCCATTGCGACCAGCGCCCCCCCATCCGCCGCCATTCCCGTTGCGCCCACCATCGCCCCTCCCGCCTGCCGCTGCGCCTCCAGCTGCGCCGCGATCAGCCTCAGCGTCGCGTCCTCCGCCTCTCCGCCAATCACCATCTCCGCCTCCCCCGCCGCCTCCGCGGACGCCGCCGCCCACATGCGCTGCTGCTGCTGCAGCTGCTGCTGCAGCTGCTGCTGCGCGGGGTCGTGCGCCAGCGCCGCCAGCGCCATCTGCACCGCCGCCGACCCGTCCAGAATCCCGCCGCCCTTCCGCAAACTATCTAGCTGCAGCTGATCGATATACCCGCGCAACACGCTCTCCCCCGCCGCGAGCGTGTCGCGATCGGTCGCAGAGATCTTGACGATAAACGCGCCGTCGCCGACGGCGAGATCGTCTTCGAGCTGGATGCGGCAGTTGGTCTGCTTCTCAAGGCCCTGCACCACCATGCCCGCCGTGCCGATTATCCGCGACCGCATGCGCCGGTCCGCCACCCCGATGCTGATCACGAACGGGTGCGCCGCGGACGGCGCATGGCGCTTTCCGCCGCCCCCGCGCCCGCCCGCCTCTCCACCAAACCCCCCGCCTCCGCCCCCGCCGAGGGTAGTGGGGCACCCCTGAAGGGAAAAGATCCGATGGGGAAGAATTGGGGAGTTGCGGCGAGGGAAAGGAAGATAAGGGTTTCGGACCAGGCGTGGATGCTATGATCGCGCTACGTCTCAAGCTAATTGCTCCGACGACTCGCCAAGGCCTGCGACGGCAGCGATGCTAGCGATCTATAGCGACGTTCAACGACGCTACACGACAGCCTTGGTCGGCGGATACTGCTGGACTCTAATTAATCAAAGAAACGTCAAAAAGGCTGAGATCCCAACCAATGTTGACCACGGCGATTGGACCTTCCGCACACTGTTCTCCCCCTAATTTACTCCGCCATCCGCGCAGCTCCGCCTCCGCGCACCTGAGTGGGGTGGCCCGCCTCCCCGCAGATCTTGCACGTGAGGTCGTCCTCGCGCCGCTTCTTCCAGTTGCGCTCCGCCGCCTTCGCCTTCGCCTCCCACGTCTTGCTGTACTTCCCGCCGAAATCTGTCGGTACGCCCGTCCCCGCATCATCGCGCTGCCTACCGACCTCCGCGTCGTCCCCGCCCTTCCGCTTCTCCGTCGTGACCGCCGCGTGCGCCTGCGCGGGCGGCGTGTAGTCGTTGGAATAGACGCTTTTAAAGAACTCGTCGTCGGCGCCCTCGCCGCCTTGCACGCCGGCCATTGCGGCGGTCTAGCTGACCTAGCATGCACGGAGTAACCAGCGGTGGTGGAAAGCTGAAGAAATTGAAACGGGAAAGCGGGAATGATGGCGAAGGGAGGGAAAATTATGGAACCAGTTTTTTGGGCGCATCATGATTGTTGTGTTCTAGGTTGGAAAGTAGTATTTTTGCGGTTCAAAGTGGTTGTGAGAGAACCAATTGCTGAGCATCCTGCTCAACCATGTGGGTGTACCGTCATTTCTGACAATATGCGATATAGAGCATCCTCGATATAACAGTACACACCCACAAAGTTCCAGAAGCCAATCATGGATTTCACGATTCCTTTTCGATCCACAGCTCCTTCCCCCCACACCTTCTCTCTCAGCCCCTACACCTTCGCTACTATTATCCGTGGGCGAATTCGCTGCTGGAATTGCTGCTGAGTTTGCTGCAGAATTTGGTTTTTGCGACACGCTCGCGAACTTTCGCAATACTCGCCTGAGAAAAAATCTGACAGAATCCATTTCCACGATCCACTTCGCGTTTTCGTTTCGTGCGCACTCGCGTCAAGTAGGGAGGGCCCTCGTGAGCGATCCCGATGGGGCGGCAGAAGGGCGGCGATGCGACGCGATCCAAGAATCGACCAGCCAGCAGCAGGTGCGCCGCGGCCTCAGGTGGTGCGCGATGCGTTTGTAACCAGCGCGCCGTTGCGGTGCAGGCGGCTCGAGGCACGAAGGAGGCTGTATGCGCGTGCTCTCGGAAGCCAGCTTGCGACTTAGGACGGCTGCCACCTGTTCCGCTGCTCCTCTGCTTGTCACGCCCTAGTGTCGCCTTGTTGGAATCAGGAAGCTTCGCGTGGCGTGGTTGCGTGTTTGCTCGGCGTGAATCCATACAGCTCGGATCCGCGTGGTATCCGTGTTTGATACCGCGCGTCGCGACGAGATCTCCGGTTTTCGTTCCGGGGAAGCCGGAACTGAACGCTTGAAACGAAATTGTCATTCGCCCTTCTCCCCCCTCTTTCTTCCCTCTACAACGCAACAAGTCCCCCCATCCCCCCCTCCCTCCCCTCCCCCCGCCCCCCACCAGTTTTTTCCCCCATCCCCGCTGCCTTTTTCCCGCACCCATTCGTCGTCTTCCTATTCACGCGCCCTCCTCATCTCCTCCTTGGCGCCGCTGCTGCTTCCGCTAGTCCCCCATCCCCCATACCCCCATACCCCCTCACCCTTTCCCCATCCCTTCTCCCCTCTCCCTCATCCCCCGTCCCACCACCCCCCCTCCTTTTCCTCCCCAGCCTGGCCGCCTCTCTGCTGGCAACGGGCGCAGCCAGCGCATCAGGCGGAGCTGGAAGCGCCCCCCGCCCAGTGGGGTTCGGGGGATACGTGGGCAGTGCGCGGGTGCAGACAACAGCTGCGGGGGGGGCTGCGGGGGGAAGGGAGAGCGCGGAAGGCGCAGCCGGAGAGCGGGAGGGCCAGGGGGGAGAAGCGGAGGCTGCTGCAGGCAGCGGGCCAAAGGAGCTGGTGATTGGGGCGGTGAGTGCTGGGGGGGGAGGGAGAAGAGCAGGGAGAAGAGGGGGCTTGCAGCGCTGCGTGCACAGCCTGCATGCACCACAACCCACCGTATCACCACTGTAAACCGCTTTGCCTCTTCCCCTCCACCACTCCCCACCACTTATCACCTCTCCCCACTCCGCCTGCGTGCTGTGCGGTGATGAGCAGGACGTGGGCGGCGAGGCAGCGGCGCATCTGAGGCGGCTGGCGAAGAAAGACGCCACCACCAAGGTGAGGGAAAGACGCGACCACCAAGGTGAGGGAAAGACGCGACCACCAAGGTGAGGGAAAGACGCGACCACCAAGGTGAGGGAAAGACGCGACCACCAAGGTGAGGGAAAGACGCGACCACCAAGGTGAGGGGCAGCTGCCAGGTGGGTGGTGCAGGAGAAGCGCGCTTGGGGTGCGAGCGGGCGGGTGGGCGGTGAGGTTTTGCACGCTTAGGCTAATGAGTGCATGCAGTGGCGCTATCATGCATGCAGTGGCGCTATCATGCATGCAGTGGCGCTATCATGCATGCAGTGGCGCTATCATGCATGCAGTGGCGCTATCATGCATGCAGTGGCGCTATCATGCATGCAGTGGCGCTATCATGCATGCAGTGGCGCTATCATGCATGCAGTGGCGCTATCATGCATGCAGTGGCGCTATCATGCATGCAGTGGCGCTATCATGCATGCAGTGGCGCTATCATGCATGCAGTGGCGCTATCATGCATGCAGTGGCGCTATCATGCATGCACACGCAGAGGAGAGTGGCTGCTTCACCCGCACTTACATGTGTGCACTCGTGATGTGCCCTCCCCTCGCTGCTCACCCCTCAAGTCTGCCGACTCTGCACTTCCCCATCCCAACAATGACATTCCCCTCTCTCACACCTTTGCTCCCACGCTGCACAACGGCCCTCCATACCCCGCTGTGTCCCCTTCACTCAGCTGAAGGCGCTGGAGGCGCTTCAGGGGGTGCTGGGCGGCAGCAGCGCCGCCCAGATGCAAGCCATGCTGCCTGCGTGGGTGAGATGCTATACTCCGCCACGTCATGCTGTCATATGCCGTTTGATGCCATGCTCTGTTGTGCTATGCCATGCCATGCCATGCCACGCCACACCGTGCAATATGCCAGCATTAGTGGAATGCGATTCAGCTTGATACGCAGCATGCATCCTACTCTTCTCAAGCGTTCGTGTCTTGCCGTTTGATGCTATCCCAAGCTACACCGTGCGATGCCATGCCACCGTGCTATCCCCCGCCCTCTTCCCCATCTGGCACGTACCAGCAGGCGTTTGAGTATCGGCGGCTGGTGTTTGACGGCAGAAGCATCTTTTGAGGCGCCTCAAAAGTCATATTCACTTCTCCCCCGCCTTCTCCCCACCTGGCGTGCACCACAGGCGTTTGAGTACCGGCGGCTGGTGCATGATGGCAGCAGGGCCGTGCGCCTCGCCACACACGCCACCATGACCCTGCTCGTCAAGGGCGTGGGGTGAGTTGGTGTGGTAGACACAGCAGTTTGAAATGTCAATATGCTTTGAGTTGATGCGTCAGTGCGTCACATGCACCACAACTCACTCCCCCGTGACGTCGCTGCTGCCTCTATTCTCTCATTCCAGATAAAAATTCAGTCGCTTAAACATCATCCCTGCCGTTCCGTCCCTCTTTCCCATGGCAGCAAGGGCCTGGCGCCACACCTGAAGCAGTTGATGGGGCCGTGGTGGGTGGCGCAGTTCGACTCCTCCCGTGACGTCGCTGCTGCCGCCTCTCTCTCCTTCCAGGTGCGTCACATGGCTTACTTACCAGCTCCGTTACCCATGCACTGGCAGAGCGAGCAGGGGCAGTGGTGGGGAGTGCTAGGGGGCGCTGGGAAGTGCAGGAGTGCAGCACAGAACAGTGCTGGCATGATAAAGCGGTGCACGAACCACTTGCCCTCGCCCTCGTCACCTGCTCTGCCACCCGCGCGCCCACTCTATCCCCCATATGCCCCCCTCATCCTCCCCCCCACCCGAAACCAACCCCTTCCAGACAGCCTTCCCCACGCCCACACGCCGCGTGGAGGCCCTGGCATTCTCGTGGGAGGCGGTGGTGCCCGCCCTGGCAGAGCTGCTGGCAGCCACTCCCCAGTCTCTGGCTGCTGCTGACCGTAGCCTGAGCGTTGAGGAGGCCAAACACCGCCTGGACGAGGTGCGATGCAGGGAGGGTGGGAGGGGCGGGAGGGGAAGGACGGAATGTAAGGGGGGAAAGGAGAGGGGTAGAAGAGAGGAGCTGGGAGGAGAGGTGAGCGATGCCTGTTGTGAGGTGCGGACGTGCCTTTCATTCATCTTACCCTCGATTATTTCCACCACCTGTTCATCCACATACATCCATCCCCTTCCACCTTCCTCCATTTCCTCCCATCCGCGCCTGTCCCCATTCTCCTCTCCCCCCACCCCCCCACCTGCAGCTGCTGTGCGCAGCCCTGCTGGCGCTGAGGGCTTTCCTGCAGACCCTGCTGCCACCACCACCACACAGAGGGGCTGCTGCTGGCGGTGCAGCCGCAGGGGGGGCAGCAGCAGCAGCAGCGGCAGGGGCGCCAGCAGCGCTGCCCCCGTCTGTGGTGGCAGCCCAGCCGCGCATGGCGGCATCCCTGCTCTCCTCCCTGCGCGCCCTCTCCTTCCTCCGCGCCCTCGCCAAACACCCCTCCCCCCGCGTGCGCTCCGCGGCCTACCACGCGCTGCCAGCTGTCCTGCTCTCATTGGGCCCGCAGGGGCAGGAGGGGGAGGGAGCGAGCAGCGAGGGAGGAGAGAACCGAGGAGAAGGGGGAGCGGGAGGGGGAGGCGGAGAGAGGACACGAGGGGGTGAAGTGGAGGTGATGGGGGAGGCAGAGGTGGTAGAGAAGGTGGGTCCGGTGGTGGCAGCAGCCATGGGGGAGAAGGTATCAGCATGCCATGGCGCCATGTGGGAGCTCGTGCTAGTGGCCTCGCGCACCTGCCCCTCCCTCTGGGCCAACCCTTCCTTTCTTAAATCCGCTCTGCCGAAGCTCTGGGGTTTTTTACGAGCCGGGTGTTTAGGCTCGGCAGAGCAGTCGTACCCGTGCCTGCTGCTGCTGCTTTCGGTGTTCTTCCGAGCCAGGCTGCACCAATCACAGGGCGTGCTGGTGCCGTTTTTCTCGAGCCTTTGGCAGGGACGGCTTGTCCACATGGCGCGGCCTGATTGGCTGGCGCTGCTGACGTGTGTGAGGGAGTGCTTGGTGCTGAGTGTGGTGCAGCTGAGGCGAGAGGAGGGGAAGGTAGTGGGGGAGGAGGAGGTTGGGAGAGGGGAGCAGAAGGAGGGTGGGAGAGAAGGAAAGGTAATATCCGCTGCGGAATTAGTGAAAGTGGTGTTGTGGGATTTATGCTTCCTAGACCTCCTTCCCGAACCCAGGAACACAGGTTCGGACCTTGGCTCGGATTCTCATGGTGCAGGAAAGACAGAGGGCACTGGTGGAAAGGCCGAAGGGGGGAGGGGCGGGGCGGCAGCGGGTGAGAGGAAGGGCGGGAGTGCATGGCTGGGAGCGGTGGTGGCGTGTGTGGGAGAGACGGTGAGGCAGGTAATGCAGGTGGAGAGGGGGAAGGGATGGACGGGGGGCGGAGGGGAGGAGACACAAGAGGTGGGAAGGGGTGAGGCACAGCGAGGGTCTGTTATGGATGGCTTCTGGTCGTGCGTGGTGGATGCGGTGCTGTCTGCTGTTGATGCCCCCACTGCTGCTGCTGTGCCTTCTCCTGCTGATGCTGCCAAGGAGAGCACGGGGGAGAGTGAAGTGGCGCTGCTGAGGCGAGCACTGGCAGGGAGCGCTGCTGCTGATGGCGGCCGTGGCACAGGCACGGGCAATAGCGAGAGCAGCACAGTGCAAGCAGTGCTGAAGCTGCTGCAGCAGCTGAAGCCCACAGCAGCAGCAGCAGCCGCAATAACAGAGCCTGCAGGCGTGGCATCGGCAGCAGCGGGCAGTGTGAGGGACAGTGGAAAGCACAGCAAGTGGGTGGTGCCTGCAGTGGTGTCACCTCTCATGCACCGACTGCTGCCCCTCGCGCTGCCCCTTCCCCTCCTGTCCTCGCCCCCTTCATCCTCCCCTGCCCGCATGGAAGCCGCAGCAGCGATGGCAGCAGCGCTGGTCGACATGTTTGGAGCACCGGCCATCCCGTGCCAGCTGGCAGCGCATGATCCAACGGGCAGCGCAGCCGCCTTGGAAAGTGGTGACAGCGGTGTTGGGCACACAACCTCCCTGCAATTGCTCGACTTGCTGCTGGCACACACAGAGGTTGGGGCAGGGGAGGGAGTGAGTGGCAGGGTGGATGGGAGGGCGCACAGGGCTGTGTTTGTGCTGCACGTAAAGCTCCTCTCGTACCTCGCCCTGCTCTCACTTCCACACAGCAGCAGCAGCATCAATAACAGCAGCAGCAGCGCGAGCAGCACGAGTGGAAGAGAGTCAGGAGCAGCGGAGGGCGACAGGTGCGTGTCACTCATCGTGCAGCGCCTGTGCACTGCCGCGCTCCACCTGGCTGAGCAGAGGGAGGCAGGGGCGGCAGAGGCAGGTGGGGGTCATGGTGGCGGCACACCCTCCCTCAACATGCCTGCTTGCCTCCTCGCCGCTCTCCTCTCCTCACTCTCCATCCCCTCATCTCCCCTCACTGCCACGGCCAGCACCGCTCTTGACCGCTTGGCCATGCATGTGGCTGCATCCACACCGCTGCTGCTCCTCCCCTCCTCCCAATGGCTCCTCCAAACGCTCCTCTCTCCGCCTCCTGCTGCTCCCACGCGCCTCTCTCTCCCCTCCTCGCGTTCCTGGATCTCGCCCTCCTGCCTTGCCTCGGTTTACGCTTCTCTGCACTCGCACCTGCTCTCCTCCCTCCTCGTGCTCTCCACCTCCCCCTCCCTCCACACTCTCAGTCTCATGCTACAGCCACTGCTGCTGCTGGTGAGGCGAGAGGGAAGTGTGAGGGGAGAAGGGGTGGAAGTAGGAGCATTGGAAAAGCCAGACTCAGAAGGAGGAGGTGAGGGGGATGCCACGTCAGCACAGGCTGAGCTGGCAGCATGCCTGGACGTCCTGGAGCCCCTGTGGCTCGCCTCCCATGTGTCTGCCAGCAGCGCAGGCTCTGGTGAGCTGTCGCGTGGTGATTTGCTGGCGGTGGTTGCTGCTTGCTCGTCTTACCTTGTAAGCTGGTGCCTGGGGGAAGGGGAGACAGACAAGGGAGAACAGGCAGGGAGTGAGGAGGAGAGTGAAGATGAGGAGGAGGAAACGAAGGAGAAGGGGGAGGAGGAGGAGGAGGGAGAGGAGGGGTTGGAGTTGGAGGAAGAGGAGGAGGGGGGAGGAGGAGGGGCATCAGGGGAGGGGTACATGGAAAAGGTCCTGGGAGGGGGTGGAGCAGCAGTGGCGGTAGGAGCAGCAGGAGCAGCATGGGGTGCAGCAGGGGTTGAAACGGGTGTGGGGGCAGGTGGGACAGGCGCTGGAGAAGGGAGTGAGACTGCACGGCTCGCATCCACAGGTGCTGACATGGCAGGGCCTGTGGTGGTAACCGTGTTACCAGCTCTGCTTGCTGCAGCTAACCAATGGGTCTCGCTCCTCTCACACCCTCCCTCCACCAGTCACACCACCATTCACTCTACCCATGCTTCATCAGCCACTCTCACTGCCCCTACTCCAGTAGTTATCCTCACTGCACGCTTGCTCACTCACTCTCTTGCTACCACTGCTATGTCACCTCTCTCCCACTGCCGCCCACACATCTGTGCGCGCTGGGCGGCGGATCTTGTCCGTTTCTTCCAGCTGCACGGCGGGAAGGAGGCGGCGGAGAGGCGTGTGATTGGGTGGCTTCTGGCCGACCTCGAGTTGATGGGTGGAGGGGAACAGAAGTGGACTCGATTTGTGGGTCGTGTCACGGACTCTTGTGTCACGGCTGGTTCCCGTGACAGTGATACGACAGGGTACAGTCACATTGACAGCATCATGAAGGGTCTGCTGCCTCCTCCTCATCTCTCCTCCGCAATCTCCCAACCCCCCTCACACCTCCTCCTCTCCTCCCGCCTCCTCCACTTTCTCTCTCATCTCACGCACCTCCTCGGCCCGTCTGCCGTTTTCTTCTGCCCAGCGGGCGGCGGGCGGGCGGCACTGGCGGTTGAGATGATGTGCGCGTGGCAGGAGGAACACTCCCTGCGCCGCCACCATCACTCCACCATCACGCCACGTGGCGGCCTCTCATTGGGCGGTGTCGAAAGTGATTCCCTCGGGATTGGGCCGGCGGTGGTGGTGGAGCTGATGGTGCGGGCGGCACGGCAGGTGGGGGTGGAGGGGGAGGTGAGGGAGGGAGGGGAGATGAACGAGGGGGAGGCAGCAGAGGGAGCAGGAGTGGGAGGAGGGGTAGTGGGCAGAGCGGAGGGAAGGCTTGTGAGCGAGGTGGTGAGTGTGTTGGTGCAAGTGGCGTCCCAGGGAATCGACCCAGCTCGTGCCAGTCCTGCCACCGCCACTGCCACCGCCACTCCCACACATGCATCGTTTGCCTTGAAGGCACTGTGCGGGCTTCTCAGAAGGTTCCTTGCAGCAGGGGCGTGGGGTCCAAGGCAGGCGTGGCAGGTGGTGCGGCAGCAGCTGGCAGCAGTGAAGGTAGAGAGGGAGGGCGGGGGAGGGGGCATCTCTTCCCATGGGGATGGTGGGATGGGGGGAGGGCGAGGGAGAGCGTGGGTAGTGGCAGAGGTGGTGGGTATACTGATGCCTGTGGTGCGCTGGGGCGATCAGGCAGGGGGGCGCGGCGAGACAGCAGAGGGAGGTGCAGCAGCGGATGGGGAAGGAGGGCGGAAAGGGGCGTTGGAGCAGCAGGTGGAGGAGGAGGTGGTGTGGTGGGTGCAGCGAGCCAATGAGGCGCTGCCACTTGTTGCATGTGTGGAGCAGCAGAGTGCGGAGGCAAGAGGTGAGTGGTGGCTCTGCAGGTTTGCGCCTCTGATGGTGCCACACGAGTGCCTCACAAGTGCCTCATTGTATGCACCACACCACATTCGGGCACACACCCGCATCCCCTCCCACATGGCCATTAGTGGTCTCACAATCCGTTCCGCTTCTCCCCAACTGGAAGCGAAAATCTATCCATCTCCCTCTCCTCTTTCCCGCCCTGCCCCTCCCCACCGTGCTTCCCCACCGTCCCTCCGATCCGTGCAGACTCGCTCGCCCTGCACGCCCTCGCCTTGGCGCTCTTCCCCATGCCACCATCATCCAGCTCCTCCTCCTCCCCTAACGTGGCCCAATCTCCCGCCACCGCCACCACCCCCACCAGCAGCCCCGCCCAGTGCGCCGCCCTGCTCGCACTGCTGCGCCTGCAGACCTCCCGCCACGCAACTGCTGCCATCGCTGCCGCTGCCGCTGCCGCCCGCCTGGCTGCTGCCGCGCCTGCTGGTGATGCAGGCAGTGTGGAGCCCGGGGAGACGAGCAGTGCAGTGAGTGGTGGTACGATGCGTCATGGTGGGGGTGTGAGTGCGGACGTGGGGGAAGGGGATGAGCTGGACGATCTAGACGAGCTCGATGAATTGGATGAGGCTGGGGGCGGTGATGACGTGGCAGTGGACGAGCTTGATGAGCTGGACGAGGAGGAGGAGGAACAGGGCGGTGGGGGGGATGGAAGGACGGCGCAGCGCGGTGTCACTGTTGCAAGTGTTGGTAAGGAGGCGCTGCACCAGCAGAAGCAGCAGCAGCAGCAGCAGCAGGCCGGGGGGGAGGCGGCACAGGAGGGCGGGCAGGAGAGCCGGGAGGAGTGGACGGCGAGGGTGGATCGCTGCCTCCTCACCCTCGCCAGCTCAGCAGTGGCGTACAGCTGGCAGGAGATGGCCGAAGCTGACATGGCGTTTGTGGGGGGCAGGCTGCGGCGGGCGCTTGCAGCAGCAGCCATGGCGTTTGAGGAGCTGGTGGAGGGCATGGGGGAGGGGGTGGGGGAGGAAGGGAGTGGGCAGAAGAGAGTAGCAGGGAAGGGACAATCAAAGGAGGGGCAAGCAGGTGATGATGAGCAAGGGAGGACGAGTGGCATGGCAGGGCGGCTGGAGGCCATGCCGTTGCACGTGGCAGGTGCTGCCCTCTCACTGCTCTCCATGCTGCTCACCCTCCACTCCCACGCCTCTGCTGGCCCCGCGGCCACCACCACCAGCAGCATCTTCTCGCTGTGGGCGTCAGCCGCTGCATGGGCGTCCCCGTCCGCGCTGTGGGCATCGGAGGCGAGTGCAGCGGTGGTACGGCAGGGGTCAGAGCACGCCTTGCGCATCTTCATTGCCACCGGGCTCGCAGAGACGGCCCTTCCTCACAGCAGTGCTGCCAGCAATGCCGCCACCAGTGCTGCCAGCAGTGCTCAGAGCAGCCAGCCCATGACAGCCTGGCGGCTGCAGCATCCACTCTTCTTCCGCCAGCTGTCGCGCGCAGTGCTTGCCGCCCCGCCCCGGGCGGTGGAAGCAGCAGTGCGGGCGGCGGAGATCTGGGGGGCTGGGCGGGGGCCAATTGCAGGGCTGTACGCACTCATGTGTGGCCCGTCGCCAGGTGGCAGCGTGCGATTGGCTGCATTCTGGTATCTGTCCAGAGAGCAGGTATTGCCTGCTGCTGTGGGTTCAGGGGTGGTGAAGGGCGGAGGGGAAGGGGAGACACATGGAGAGCCAGTTGGTGATGGCGTCAGACCTGAGCTGGCACACATTCTGAAGCCAGCCAATCGGAAGGAGCTGCTGACGTCATCTCTGACGTCACCGCAGCGGGTGCGGTACTACCTGGCAGCATGCCTTGTGCTGCACCGCATCCAATCCCTCCCGGCCTCACCCCCATCCCCGCCTCTCTCCACCGCAACCGCCTCTGCTGCATCGCCATCCTCCCCTCGCGACCGCCTCGTCTCTTTCATCCAAGCCACTCCCACTCTCACTCTCCTCCTCGACCTCGTTGCTCAAAACCTCCTCCTCGCCCCCTCCCCCTCACACTCCTCCGCCGCTGCCCGTCGCCTCATCCATCTCAACCCCTCAGGACCCCTTCCCCCCGCTGTTGCTCAAGCTGGGGATTCTGCCATACGGGCAGTTGCCCAGGCCTCACCTCTGGACGTGGCACTGGAAGTTTTAACCCTGCCCGGGGCAGGCAAATTATCGGTGCCACGCATGCGCAGCCTGGCAGCAGCGGTGTTTGGGGCGGCGCTGCGGGTGGTGCCAGGGGGGGTGAGGCGGTGGTATGCGGATGTGAGGGAGAAGGGAGTGCGGCGGGGGATGGACATCTTTACTGCCCGATACTGCAGCGCCCACATGATCGCCCTCGAACTCGCCCAAGTATGCATTTCCCCCCTCGCCTCTCCCATTACCCCGAATTGCTCTTTTCTTCCCTTCCTGAGTCTGTGCACCCACAATTCGCTCCTCTGCTGCTGCTGCTGCTGCTTGCTGCCTTTCTCCCACCAGGCGCAGAAGGTGGGTGGCAGCAAGGAGGACCTGACGGTGCGCACGAGGCGGTCGGCACGCGAGGTGTGGGCGGCGTACTGCAAGGACGAGGCCAAGCTAGAGCTCGTCATCAAACTGCCCGACAGCTACCCGCTGCGAGGGGCAGCTGTCGAAAGTTCCAAAGGGGCAGGTGTGAAAGAGGCCGAGATGCGTAAGTGGCTGCTGGCGGCTAACTCGTTCCTGCTGCTGGGAGGGGGGTCGGTGGCAGATGCAGTGGTGCAGTGGTGCGAGTGTGCAGAGAAGAAGTTTGAAGGGGTGGAGGATTGCCCCATCTGCTACAGTGTCATCCACTCATCTAATGGCAGCCTGCCACGTCTGCAGTGCCGCACGTGCAAGCACAAGTTCCATCCTGAGTGCCTGTACCAGTGGTTCCAATCCTCCCACAAGTCCACCTGCCCGCTCTGCCAGACATCCTTTTAGTTTCAGCTGCCCGACGTCCTGTTCAACACTTGGGCTGGGAGTCAGCATCTTCAGGATGAGTATTGCCTGCTTTTTGCCGGCTTTTTGACTGGTCTCTCATCGAACCCCGGGTAGAAAGGCGGTATTTTAATTAAAGAATTGTTGAGAGGGAATGTACCATTTCACATGCTACCTACAGGTACGGAAGGGTGAAGGAGGCACCAAACAATGTTACATATATACATGTAGACACTTCCAGCATGGCATGAGAATTGCCCTACTGGGCTCGGTAATGGCAGTACAGCAGCACTTCAGACTGCAATACGCTCATGAGGCGCCCAGCTTGTTCAAGAAGAAGGCGAGAAGAGCATCTGGAACTGCTTCACCTTCTGAACGTAGTTCACCATAGCGACCTCGATGCTGAGGCCTGCAGGAGGGCGAAAGAAATTGTTAGGAAGGACATGACTGGTATGGATGGAATGGCACAATCATGGACGTCTATTCATGCTTGAATCCACAGCAGTCTCCCTCTTCAGGGGCCATGCTCGCGATTCTCGATGCGATGCAAGCTGACCTGCGAAGTCGCGCCAAGCCTGAAGTTTCTCGTGGTCGTCAGTGTCCACGTCATCTTCTGAACCTGCACAGCCATCCGTGGTAACGTCAGCTCCGTTTCTAACAAAATGTGCGAGTAGACGACGACGGAATGAGCGGAAGAAATGTCAAGTCGCGACTACTGTGAGTGAGCACTGACTACGTAGGAAGATTTGAGACGTCTCAACAACTGACAACCTAGAAGCGAGACATTGGTCGCAAAATGCAAAACGAACGAAAGCCGTACACGAAGTGATGCTTCCTGCAGTCGCCTGCTTGTACAACCCGTAGAGAACCAGCTGGTACGGCGGTGCTAGTACTGGACTCAGCTGCTTCGCCGCCTCCACAGACGCGAGGAAATCGGCCTGAATGCACGAACGCATTTCAATGAGAAGCCACGTCACGCTTCAGGGACGAAAGGAGTACGAACGGACATCATGCTGCGATACATGTATCATGCTCTTTCTGTACCTCAAGGCTCAGGTCGCATGCTGCCTCCGTGAATGGCTCGGCACGACAGGCCAACGCATGGGGAACGGCAGGCGACTTCCATCGTTCGCGGACATATGCTGCCATGAGCCCAACCTAGATAGCGATACTCAACAGGGCAGCTCTCAATCCTTTAAACATGAATAATATCGGCTGTCAAAACTCGCACGCATTCCTGGAAACAGCGAAACTAGAACGGACATGCTAGGAGCAACGCATGCAGTTCTGGCTGAAAGAGAATTGTTGGGTGGGCTGGGCTAGAATGCTCGAAAACCTGTGACGAATGGCGGGAAACCTCATACGGTATTGTCAGGCTGGGTCACCTCGAAAGCGACGGAATGATGGCACATTTCTGGAACTTCTGCAGTGTACTTCGCTCATGCTATTTAGAAGAATCAATAAATGCAAATAGCAAATAACTATTGTGCAATGTTCACATGCTGTTTGGCTAATCCATACCCTGACATCCAGGGTTCATGTTCCTGAACACGCAGCCTTTCCTATAACCTAATGTGCCCTCTCCATGATCTGATGGCTGGGATAGACCTCCTACCCAGCTGCACCTTGCACTCCTATACCACACCTGCCTTCAGTAGTTGAGCAATCCATCTGTCGATACAGTACTTGTTTGCAGAATGGAACTGTAGGCAATTCAGATGTGCAAATCTTGCGCGGACCCTTAGAATGCATCACATAACTGCAACATGGCATACTGTACCAGCGCTGTGTCCCTTTCCCCTCGCTTCCATACACAGAAAGAGGAGACTCGCTTTGGTCCACTTCACGAGGAGACCACAGGGGCCTCACACATACGAGCACAGAGGCACACGCCAGCATGTATGCAGCATTATTCGATGAGTGAGAACTTCACACGCCTCCCTGACATCCTCGGGTCTTGCAGCAATCCAGGAAACATGGGTGGCTTCGCACCATAGTCCAAAACAGAAGAGTAACTCCCAACGCTACCAAAACTGCTGCTGCTGCTGTAACCAGCTGTACTGGTACTGCGAGGGCTTCTAGATGGGGGGGAAGGAGCACTAGTTTGGGGAGGAGCCACTGCCGCACTGGAGCTCTCAAGTACCCACATTCGACCCACGCGCTCTTTCGGCGAGGTGACTTTCTTTGGAGACGATGGGCCGGAGTCACCTACGCTCGCAGAGTGCGGAAGCCCAGTCAGCGCGTGCTCCTGTTCCCTGGAAGCACACGCAGTGAGGTTGCTCTCCGACCAACAGGAGGGGATCCTGCATGAAGCAGATGCACCGACCTTGATGTTGCTGCTGCTCCTGCTTCCCCCCTGCTTGCTTGCCTGCTGGTCCGTTGCCGCCTCGTTGTTGGACCTCGTATCGGCACTGCTTTTCGTACTGTTGAGGCAGTTGCACGTGCTGCTCATGCTGACGCTCCTTACAAGCACACCATCGGGAGTCACATGGTGCTGCTGCTGCTGCACGCCCATCATCCCTGCTTGCTGCTGCAGCTTTCTCCGCTCGCTCTGCACCTCTTGCGCCGCCCGTTTCGCCGCGTCCTTGGCAATCCTCTCCTTATCTTTTTGCAGCGCTTCCCTCTCCCGCTTCAGCTCCTCCCGCTCCCTCCCCACCGCCTCCCGTTCTTGTGCCAACACTGCTCGCGTCCACTCTAGCGACACTCGGGTTCTTTGCGCTGTTGCGCGTTCCTCCTTTTGCTTTGCCGCTGCCACGTCATCAGCTTGGGACCACGCTTTCAGGACCTCTTCCAGCTCCTTCACCAAGTCGTCGCGTTCCGACGCTAACACGCGGGCGGCTGCTGTGGCTTCATTCGCCGTGCGCTCCGCTGAGCGCAAAGATTCTGCACAGAGAAAAGCAAGACAGAAACGACACGAGTACCGAAGAGTAAGAAATCACCCCAAGAGGATTGCACAATAATCGACTTTACTGACTCTAGACGCTGATTTTGAGTCGTCCAAAGCGCGTCTCGAGCCCCATGATCCAGACTCACCGGAGAGCAATTTGTTGATTCGCACGCATCGCTCCAGCTGCGTCCTCAGATCGTCCATCTCGCGTCGCAGCTGTCGCATCGGCACTGACCCGGCGTCCGAATCTTCCTCACCATCCGTCGCTTCACTTCGGACCGTCGTCGCCGTGTCGTCGTCGTTCAAACGGGTTTTGCAGGGGAGAGTGCGTTCCAACGGATCCGACGCCGCGACGCGCGATGGGTGTCGGCCTCGGGACGATGCGTTCCCCTGGATCGCTTTAGGAGAGGAAGCAGAGGAAGCGGAGGAAGCGGAGGACGTAGAGGAAGCGGGGGAGGTTGGGATTGTCGCGTTCGGACCCACCGAGTCGCGTGCCACGCCGTCGCTAATGCTGCGGATCATCGCCTTTGCGCCACCATGCTTACGGCTCTGCGGCCATTCGCGACCCGCATCTGCCGCTTGGAGAGGAAACTCCCTCGACCAGTTATCACGGCTCTTGGATTCACGGCTGTGCATGCCGCGGGTACCGCCGGTTCCTTGCGACGCACCCTTTTCCGGCGTGCGGACTCTCGGCGTCGCCGCGTCCACCACCCCGCCTCTGTCACCCACCAGGAGCCGCATCGCGAGGCGCCTACTAGGGAGGTCGCGAGGCGACGCGGTTCCGTTACTTGAAGCAGCTTCGCACGGAATCATTTCAAGGGAACGACAGCTGGATTTCATGGCTGAAGGAGTGCTAGTGGGGGGCGACATGGGGGAGAGCGTGCTCCGCAGGGAGTGGAGAGGTGGAACGGAAACGCTGATGAGGGTTTTTATAAAGCGAGAGAGCGAGTCGGAGAGGAACGAGTCAGAGGACGACGATTTGCGATGGGACCTGATCGGAGACCGCCGATCTATGGTGGCCATGTCAGTTACTCAGCTGCCCTGTAAAAATATGTATTTGAATGCCACAGCGCCCAACGGTGGAATCGGTCATGGAGGAAGCGGCCAAAGCTACGAGTAGGCGGACCAGCACAACGACAACGTACTGGAAGAGGGTGAGACGAATCGGCGCTGTAGAATGCTGAGTTCAAAATTCAAGATCTTCTCCAAATGAGCACCCTTGACGTGGCTTGGTGGTTCGCTCGACAAGACTAGTAGGGTGGGGAGGGATGGGGGAGGGTTGCATAGCATCACAAAGGTATGAAGAGTGTAAGAAGAATGCAGCTGCGGCAAGACGAATGCAATGCAATGCAAGCAACTGCCACTGCGATGCTTGCCATCCCTGACGACTCGCAAGTCGCGCCTCCATCGCACTTCTTCCACTTCGTCGCTGCGCTTCGATCACTTGCGCTTCTCTGGGCTTTCCGCCTTCCATCTCCCTCCCCTCCCCATCGATCCCCCTCCCCCTTTATACTCTCCCCGCTCGCCACCCGCAGACAACTCGTAGGGCAATATATACGGGCAGTCACAAAACGTTGAGATTATCATGCATCACTATTCTATCACTCGGGGTACATATCCCAATTGTCAGTTGTTACTGGCAGAATTTATCACATACGGTAATGACGAGCTGTCATTACTCCCAAAGTTCTTGTGGCTGCCCGCTTTGATTGAAAGCTGAACTGACCAGGGAGCGCCACCTCGAATTTGACAGCCCGTGAAGCACTAGAAGCATACAAACTGATTGCATTTCATTATTTCCCATATCAGTTCATGATGAACTTTTTATTTAGTCCTCCATTGGAAAACCAATATTAATCAAAGAACAAGGTGCAATTACAACAGAATGAGGGGGGTTGACTGGAAACTACGATTGCACAGCCACCAAGGAGGAACTAAGCTCTGCATTCCCTCAAGCTGACTTAAATATTATAATACAAGCACGGATCTGTCAAGAATGCTCTGCCCCAGAGCTTTCATGGGCAGAAAATGGACGCTTGAGTCTCACTTGAGAGTACGTCAGGAAACGCACACAAATGCGGTAAACAGAGACACACAAACACACACGCACACTACA